TTATGTTCACGAAATTCCGGGGCATTCCTTGGTGGGTAAGCGTATCAAGTAGAACAGATCGGTTAACCGAGTCGAATGCGCCTTGGAAATCCAGGAATACTAGAATTGTGGGTCGCTCATACGCATGGCGTTGTTCTAGCACCTGACGGAGTGTGAAGATTTGATCGACGCAACTCCTACCAGGCCGGAATACCGCTTGCTGCTCTTGAGTCAGTGTTTCACGAGCCACCGTAAGGCGACGGAGCATAAGTGACACAAACAGTCTCGTTACGGCCTGTGTCAAACTGATCCTTTTTGGTGTCCACACTTGCTACAAGCCCCCATTTTGAAAATATGCACCATCACCAACTCTCCCCAGTTGTCCGGGATAGAATACTTTTCCCAAATGCAAGCAACAGATCAGACAAACACTGACTGAGAACTTCACCCCCATCTTTGAACAATGCGGGTGGGAGGTCATCCGGTGGCGCTTGGGAGAACGAATGCAGTCATAAACCTCCGAGGCCGTAGGCGGTCACACGTTCACCGTCCGGGGTTCTACGTCAACTGTGGGCTCCTGATGAGTGGTAGCTGGTGGCCACGACAGTTGTTCGAAATATTCAGCCCACCGCTCGAGGCGTTCTTTATTAAAGGTGACCACTCTATTCTGATCCTCGATGGCTTCAGTCACAGGTTTCCGGGGACCAGCCGCGCGGATCAACTCGAATAATTTTCCGGCATTACCGGCTTTCTGCACCTGTTCCATTTCCTTGGCTTTCTGTGCTCACCAATCTTCACGGTCGACTCGTACGTTCACTTTCACTTGAAGTTTGACAATTCATCGCAACAAGTTACGTTTGGGACCGGCTGAGACATCTCTCTCAGATTTAAGCAGTGCCACTGTTCGGTCTTATGTCCACGGAAAAGACTCTAGAAAGCGTTTCTGGTATATTCGTCTAACAACCAAGCGATTTGTCCTCACCTTACGCAGCTCTGGAAAACCTAGGGAGAAGCGACTTCGGACGAGTGCGTGGTTGGAATCCACAAATAGTTCCAAAATCAGTTGTTGATCCGCATCATCGGTAATTGATGGCAATGAGATCGACTTGAATTTGTGGCCTGCATGCTGTCGGAGGACACCAACTGGCCATACGAGTTCGGTTATTTCAGAAGTTCGCATTATATAAGAACAGCCTGCGATCAGCACACAGCTGAAACAACCGTTCACCATTGTTCGCACGTACCGAGTCCGATTCATGTCGACCAGCCACTTGAGTCTCAGATGCGCTAAGCTTGCTCACTTGTGCATTCACATCTCCGGCATCTACAGCGATATCTAAGTTTTCAGTTCAACACAAGAGGGCATTTACGGTGTCATAAATCCTGTCTTTGATGGTGTCAGAGCTACAGTCTGTCGGGGCATAAGCAGACACGACAAACAAACATCGGTCAACTTCTCGCTTGTGAGACTCCTTCACGGACTTTGCCAGACGAACCGCGCAGAGGCGACTATCAATGGGTATATAGTAAAACCCTCCAACCTGATGACTTAGGACGATACCGACCCCTGTACATCCTGCCGCAGTAGCTTCTGGATCGCCAGCGGTCCGCAGCCGGATGAAACCACGCGATGGACGATGTGGCGTGAGTTTGTGTATGTGCAGTTCATGGCTGTACGTGGGCTGGGATACTGCTAGGACGCCCACACCAAGACAGGAAGAAATAGACGGTTCCACTAATCTAAAACAAATCAAGATAAAGGGACAGTCGACCTGAGGTTGATTTGTCCCATTTGTAACTGACTTTTATGTAGAGTCGTTTATCTTTTACCGGAAGATCAAGCTTGAGTCTTGGCAAGGCAGCCCATTGTAATCAAAAGATTGCGAAGGGGCATGTTGTTAGCTGTTGCCAAGTATGGCAGATGGTCTCTAGTGAAGGCCAACGCAGCCAAAGGAAGACTGTTCATGCAAGGAAATACTCCTTTCCAACATAACAGGAGAATATTAAATGGTAATTTGCCCAGCTTTGAGAACTTAGGCAATATTCCAGAGCTCAGTAATTTTATTGGAATATCGACACTGCATTTATAGGATGGTTCAAGCTATCTGAAGAATCCGCATGACTTCCTGGTCACCAAACGAAATCTCTACGCACCTGTTGGATTCTGACTTTATTTTGAGCCAAACCCCTGCATCACATTAAGTTGAAGACTATCATAAAAGGAATCCAGCTAGATCTCTTGCTAACACCAACGTAATTTGCAAAATGAGTGCACTTCACGAATGATACACAATTGTGGTTCAGTTCCAGTTTGTGGGAACTGGGGGACTGCGCGTGCTTGATGAGCCCCAAGGGTGAAACTGGTCGTGGGCTATCGGAGAGCAGCGAGTCACATAAAAAAAACACACTTCGGCGTCTTGATTATCGTGCCAAGTGAAAAATAAGACCGCTTTTGTGCAGCATTCATTTGAAGAATAGCATGAGCGAGTGGGATTCAGTTTATTCACCCGTAATTTGTGCCTCAGAGGGTGTTATCAACAAGGCAGTCCAGTCCTGACTGTAAACACACAATATAAAAGTGCGCTAATAACGTGACTCGTCAGGTGGTCAGCTAGTGAAAATCACAACCATCGCTTTAAACAAACAAAAAACATTTATCAGTCTTTTCCGATCATCCCACATCTTGCAGCTTTTTCTCGAACCAAACCAGTGGCGGTAGTTAGATCAATGTTTCCCAGCTGACCTCTAATCGATAGAGTTTTATTCTTGTTAGGGTGCGATTCGTGCTTATTTGACGTAACCCAACGAACTTAGGTGTTGATTGTTCGTCGAAAGAAAAATTTATTGTACGCTGTCGTGTCGGGCGTTCCAGGTGATGCGGTTGATGAAGACTACCTGTGGCAACGAAAACCATCCGCTCCAAAAGGGAAAACGACGGAAACCATCGATCGACTAACGTAGTAGTAACTTTTCTCTGTACGCCTCACTCGCCTAAACCGGATTACGCTTTGAATTGAGCGTGGTTAAACCTACCAATCTGTTTCTGGGTTAGATGAATGGAGCCCGCTAACGACACAACACATCGCCATACTTTAGGTGTCTATCGTGATACCTGAGTACGAGAGACATGAGTTTTGCGTTATTTGTTTTACCGAAGTCGAATAGCATAGTTCTCGTGCAAGCTATATCGATCGTTCGTGTGCCGAAAAATATACAATGGTCCAACGAACTTACATTCGCTTTCAACATCACGAGCCTGACCTATTGCCCAAGCAGTTGGAGGTCGCGTCTGGCATACAGTCCTGGAAAGTGCCCTGCTTGATACAAGGAACGAAGGGAGGATTTACTACAAAGTACCCGAGTATCGCGTTGAGGTACGGTTTCTTCACGATTTTCACGGCGAAGTATTCTTACAGACTCGAGACGAAAACTGGATGTTTACAGTAAAAAAAGTTATCAGATCTGGAAAAACTCGGGCATGCGGGGCCTACCGTCCACCTGATAAGTTTCGACACGGAAGGACCTCGTAAGGCTAAGCTTTTTGGGACCAAGTGAAGTCTCCACGGCAAAGACGCGACGGGCAACCAATTAGATACACCAAGGGAACCACTGTCATTATCATTCGACTAACAACTCGAGTATGCCAGTTATCACCCGACTGGATTGGAGCAGCAAAAGAGGGCTTGCGTGAACGCAGAATCGCGATAGCAGGTGCAGACCACTTTGCAGCAAACGATGTCTATATTTTCACAGAGAACCAATTCTAAGATCAACTGTCGGACATCATCAGACCTAAATACTGGTGTTGGGTTCAGTTCAATTTGACAACCGTGTTGAGGAGTACGCAGTTTCAGGTTACCGCGGCCCGTGGAAACGAATGAAGGGCAATAGACACAGAAAACAAATAATAACAAAGACAATGAACAGGTACCTTATCCATGATCGGATTTGGTGCGAAACAACAGAGCTATGTATATACAAAGAGCAATGGACGGGTAGTTGACTGCCTAGCTGAAAATGCAATGCTCCATCAGCATTTGCATTCCTATGGACTATGATCACCAAATCCTTAATACCAAACTTCGGAATGGAGTATGCATCCAGCAGGAGTGGTTAGGCCCCAAAGCATTTGATCTTCGATCACGTCCCTTGTGATCGTTTTGGGGATATCACCAGATCTGACGAAGTCAACAAGCAAACTTCAGAAACCCGGAAATGTCGAGTTGAAAAACGTACCACTAAGGAAATCAGAGGTCGATTTACGGTGGATACGATTTCACATCTCATCCGAACGACATAAGAAAGGCCGCGAACCATTTCCCGCAAACCTCATTTCGCAAGGTATCATCAGAATCTCATGGTACCAAATAGCGAAGTAGCGTGATAAACTGCTCTGAATGCAGTTCTATGGCACGAGTACCAGCAACGGCCCGTGACAAACAGTGGAAGTACTAGAGCAAATGAAATTCTTGTTCGAAAATGTACATAGGAAATACATGAACCACGCATGGACCTAGTGCGCCTGCTTGATGAAATGATGATGATGGTCAAAAAACACATCAGCTGACACACAAAAGAATGAGTGAATGCACACAATGGAAGGAGGGGAAGAAAGGGTGTCTATACACATGTACAGGAACGAATCACAACTACGCGGCATGGATTGGAGCCCGTATGGGGAGAAAATAAAAAAACACTATTATTACGTCCTTTTCCTTTGTATATGCCAGGTCAACTAAATGTATTTACACCACAAAAGGGCCCATAAAACGAATTCGGCTGACTGATACATCATTTTCCATTACCATTTTGGTGCAGATGGGTGAAGGGGGGACTTGACACAATCATATACACATACAGCACGGTGGCTCAGAATCAGAAGAAAATCAGACGACAAAGATAACTCAAAATTATTATGCAACTCTGCTCAGGGCGATGGTAGTGGGTAGGCGCTGAGCAACAAAAGACAAGGAGTGGATGGGACTTGAACAAATGGTCTAGGAGCTTCTTTGGAAATATACCTAAATATTGCCACTTTCCTGGTAGTGCGGAGTGACAGGAAGTATGTTGGAAGAAGGGCCGAAATCTGGACGGGAGAGGGATTGCTGCGCTTGATTTGGAGGTATCATAGGGTAATGTGAAGAGGGTAAAGGAAGATTGACTGCACCACTGCTGTTGCTCTGTTGTTGTCCAGGGCCGAGCAACTGGGACAGCATGACAGACGAGGAATACTGGGGGTGTGGCTGGTGAGAACGGGTCGGACCCATAGTCATCCCAGGACCTGGAGCAAGACTTACGGAAGACAAGTTCGAGTTTCCCGGTCGAAGAAGCTGGGCTTGTGACCCATGGGGAATCATGCTTCCACCTCGAGGTAAAGGTACACCTCCCATTGGAGGAGATACGGGTAGTTGACTGGGCGGAGTGAGCTGTGATTGAGAAGGATGCGACACGACTCCCATTTGGTTAACATAACGTGATGGGGCCGGATTCAGCTGTGGCGGTTGGTGCCCGACTGGAGAGGCAGTGGGTCCAACAACCTTGGATGCTTGTTGATAGTAAGGAAATTGTGGTTGAGACCCGGGTGGCGGCGGTGGTGGAGGAGCAGGTCGGAATCGTGCATGCTGTATTGACATGGTGTTCCACTGTTGGGATTGGGGGAAAGGGAGTGATGGTTGATTCGAGACGAATCCTGCTTGAGGTGGGTGTCGAACGGACCGTGAGTTGAGAGTGGGCTGGGGAGCCGTCGAAAGTGCTTGACAAACAGAATAGCAATTGGTGGACGAGGGGACGGTCATACCACCTGGGTGCGCGACTGGTACAGTATTTGACCCAGGCCCCATTGTCAAAGGTTGCTGCTGAGCTTGAATATGTGACTGTTGCAGGAACTGCCACGCCCGGGACAGATGAGGATTCGCGTTGAGCCAACTGGAAAACTGGACAAAAAGAAGGATGGCATCGTCCATTACAGAAGGCAAAATAACCAGAGACGACAGTGTAAACCTGTAAGAAACTAGTATGCAGTTGCCTAAATTACACGAGACAAACTGGAAAACATACCACAAGGAACAGAGTTCTAGCAGTTTGCCTAAAACGGACTAAAATCAGAAGAACCAAAAAGTGATCTGAAATGCAAGCACTGGATTAAACCAATCGCTGCTCAACAGTGCACGGGTTGAAGCTAGAAAGGTGTAAGCACGAAGTGTACAGGACGGAGGTTTAGTAAACCGCGTGCGCATCTGTTATCATTTGTGAGGCTGAACTTTTGGAGACCTGAATCCACTGCTTACCTGCTGAAATTGTTCCACAGCGAAACCAGCCTCCTAAGGAGCACCTTACCGGCAAGTCCTTTGGCCCCTGAGAAAGGGATTGAACTTGATTTGCTTTCACATGGCATCCTTTGAGATGGAAACTAATGTGCAAGGTCCAGCAGCAAACTCCTAAGGGAAGAGTAGCGAGTTCGATCCGATGAATTCGGTCGTGTGGTGTAAACACTGCACCATCTTCTTGTTATAGTTTTTCGACGGCACATTCACCGCTTGTTGTTCTTATTATATATCCGAGTATGTAGCCAGGAATAAAGTATGGTATACAGGCGGGAGCTATTGCTTTGAGTTTGTGTTGTGTCACTGATGACTTGGCCACGACCGAGTGGGAAGGTACTTTACCGTTGAAGTTACACGCGCTTAAGCATGTGGAGTGCGTCAATTGACAAAAACAGTTCTCCCAACGCTAAAAAAACAATGCAAATTACCTCAAAGCAACACACCAGGATCTAGGCTGAATTCCGAGTATCGGGCTCATCTTGATTCACTTCGAAAGGTAGCAAGCATAATAGAATGCAACTCTACCAACAACACATGAAGCGTAAATCGCGAAGAGTCAGAACGAGACATGTGAAATTCACACGCACCGATTAAGCACGGTGCAGTGGGAAACAATCGAGATAAATGTATAAAAAACGAACAGAAGTCACGTGGTCAGTTAATCAATGCCGAAAACCTGCAAGTCAGATGTGAACTGTGCGAAAGTATAGATGCAACGGAACGAAAAGACGCTAAATGACAAGTGGAAACACGTCTCTCGGATGACATGGATAGTAGAGTGAGAGTAATAAGGCTCCCAAGACACAAAATAAAAGGAAACTTGAGTAAAAAATTCGGAGTATCAGTCGAGGCTTCATACGAGCAGGCGATATGAATTGGTAAAAATGATCGGCGCCTTTTGGGGTACAGGTGCCGTGCAACCCGAAAGATGCTGGCAGGTTGCCCGAGCCTGGACAATAGCAAACGAAAAAAGTAAAAATCAAACTCGTACCATTGGTTTTCCGGCCACTAGCTCTGCACCTTAAATGCTAAGCTATCTTGAGATCGGGAACATGAATCAGTAAGTGAGAAGAGTAGAAACTTACGTCAGACATGAGAGCTCCACGCTGGCGCATTTCATTGTAGGTTTGTTTCACTAGCTGGACATCTTCCATAGACACGGTGCCGCCAGAACCCAGTGGTGGAGTTAGACAAGGATGCGGTGTGGAGGGTAATGGGGCTGGTATCGTTCGAGCGACAGTGACATTCGGTGCACAAGGGCTACTTGGTCCACGTGTTTGAGGGATCGGGTTGTACATGTTAGGATTTGAACCAACATTAGGATTGGGTTGAGGCGGCCGCCAACTGGAATTTGCTGTGCTAATGCCCGCAGGATATTGTGTGGGTGCAGGTAGACCAGGATGTTGGATTTCACTGAGCGATCCACATGAGGAATGTCGCTGAGATGCAAGTTGTGACGGTTGCTTGGGGTGAGAGGAATGTTGGCCCTCGGTGCAGACTCGAGGTGGGATCGATACGCCGGACTGAACATACGTTTGGTTATCTGTACCTGTTGCAGGTTGCGCGGCATAAAACTGTTGATACCGTGGTGAAAGAGGGGCATTGTATTGTGATGAACCGGATGATTGTCGTATCAGTTGCGGGTGTCCACTGGGCAGAGACGGCTGAGGACTTGGACCAGAATTAAACTGAACCGACTGTGGCCGATCCAGTTGATGGGATCTCGATTGATGCATCATTCCACCAGGTGGCAGCACGACAGACTGACTCCGATGGAGCGATTGGTAGGCGTAGGCCGGAGAGCTACCGACGTCACCTTTCATCACGTCCGGGGAATCCATGCAACCGCCAACGGTCTGATGGACGGCAGAATTATAGGGACTTGCGGATGAATATGTGGCCGAACCCATGTGCTGAGGTGAAGTCAGCGATGGTGAGGATGGGACTGTTGAGTTGCTGGCAACCTGTTTCGGGTAGGCATGCTGCACAGAACCAAGAGAACTGGACGACTGGTAGAACGAGGGTTGCTGTTGCGGTGACGGCAGTGACGCTGATGTTCTGGATAGTGGGGACGTCATCGCAGGGAAAGACGTAGTAGCTGGACCAGTTGGGTTAGGACCGTATGGAGACAACTGCGTTGATGTTGACACGGGAGAAGACACAGAGTCCGAAGCAGACGGCGGTTGATGCTGCGGCTGTGGAGTCTGTCCCGATGGGTCAGATTGCTGGCTGGATGCCATGCTATTGTATCGTTGCATAGTTGCCATGCGTCTGCGTAACATCTGAGTTTGCTCTAGGCGCTGTTGCTTTTGCTGCTGTTTCATCTTGGCTTTCCATTTGGGACAGAGCGGAACGGGGCATTTCAGCTCTTGGCAGGTCTTTGAATGATAGTAACAGAGGAACGATAAAGAGCGGCAAACGTTACACTGATTACGCGCAGCGGCCGCATGGACGCGGAAGTGTTGCACGTTCGATTTCATCGTCTTGCAGGCAAATACGCGGCAATTTGCATCGCGACAAGAACACCCATGACCCAGAGCTTTCACTAGACGACTGAGCTTATCACGACCGGATTCCTGTACAGCGGCAGCTTCGCTATCCACGTCCGAATGCTTAGTACCATCGTCCAGGCCCAAACCAATCTGAACCATAGGATGAGGATGCTTTTCTGTTTCATAACACCGGGGACAGAGATCGTATTCGACGCACTGTCTGCAGTGCCAAGGAGTCTCCAGTTGTACGTTACACACGTTGCATGTGTACATAAGTGGTTGTCGGTTCTCAGTGTGAAGCTCATACAACATTACTAAAGTGGAATACTTGGCTCGGCGAACAGAAGAAAACTCTAGGTGTTTCTCGCGTGCGCGCTCCAGGAAAGCACCCCGACATTCCATTAGGTCTGAGTTAATGAGCGGGTCAAGATCCTTGATTGCAGGAAGAGAGGAAACCGAATTTTGCGGATGCAGACGAATAACGAAGAAATTTTCTTTGTGCTTTTCCATGATCTCGTATACCCTTCGGGCAACTTCGCTGGACGCATCCGCGGAATTTCCACCGTTGAGCCGCTTTCGTTTACCCGACAGGGATAGCGATGCGTTGCGCTTCATCTTCCGTTTCTTTGCTTTCTTTTTACCAGGGTTTTTCTCATTCTCACGCGTTTGCAGATTCTCCTTCGTCTCGTCGTCGTCATCGTCACGGGCAAGTGCTTCTTGCTCGCGTTTCCGTTTCGCATCCTCTTCATCCATTTCCTTGAAAAAAGATAATAATATCAATCAGCACCAAAAATCTAATGAGACGCATGAGGATGTCAAACCTATGCCACTGAGCGGAAAAAAGGACGACAATTCGCGAGGTATAAATAAGGAGCCAGGTGGACAAATCAACCTTTTCTACAAACCGCAATCCACTGCCGTCACAGGAAAATGGGATGTTCCAGGTTCCTGAATTAGCCAGTGAAGTGGATGTTTTTAAGGCGTAACAGACTACTTACCGAAAGCAAATAACACTAATTCCCTCTACAAGAAAGATCAAGTGAGAAGTTTGACCGAAAATCGCAGTAGCACATAATGGACTGCTTAGGCAAGACCAATACGGTCCGGATATACTAGTCGACCATCACTTTGACACCGGTCACAACGGCACGTACGGGATCTTGCGAACAGTTTTAACATCGCATTCGTCGGCATCATATATTCGTCACCCACATCAGGTTTCCCTTATCACATTGCCCACAAGATCGTAATCGCCTCAGCAGCAGTATCACAATGATATTAACCTAGAATTTAGGCTCTGGCAAAAATCGGTCCCTCACTGGGCTTTTGGATATAGAAGGAAGTAGACTTTTCTTAGTCACTAAGAAAAGCGACTAGTAACGGAAGGCAAAGTATTAATGTTCGATTGTTGGATGATTCACGATGACCGCCATTAAACGAGCAAAAATGCACATTCGAAAACACACCAGTCTCTGACCCCAACCCACTCGGAGTGAGCAGACCTTTGCGATGTGGTTCGACTGTGCAAAGTGAGTACAGCGGCCAATATCGACTGCTGGCGTTACACATGATCAGGCTAGCTAAAAGACTACACAGGGTAGTTATTATAATAAAATGCCACGGGACTTGGCTGTCCTTCGTCACTAATTCACCAAGCTGCTTAAGATCACAAAAGAAATTCGTTGAAATTAATAGCAATCGAAGCCGAGTCAGAAGTAATTTGTAATTTGGTGGAGCATAAAGGAGCTAAACAATCGGATCTGCACTGAAGCTAATCAAGCTTGGTGTAAGCGGAGAAAACCGATTTACTTGACTTCGTTATAATGTCATCATCATCTAAGGTCACTTTAGCAAAAAAAATTAGCAGGGAGATCTGGTGAAGGCAAACTGTGTTGTAACTGTCCCTCTCCGGGGCAAGTCCTCCTGAGAACAATCACATTTTTGTCGCTTAATGAGGTTTTATTGCTTCTATAAGAATAGACTATTTTCCGTCAGTTCTTGAAAAAAAAGAACTGTATTATTACTCAACCGTTCAAATTAACGTAACTTACATGTGGTTGTGCGAAAAGAACCCTTCGAGGAAGTCGGTTGACTGGCATACGCAGCACGTCACCAAGCCAGTGCAACTGATGCAGTGTGATCAGTCCATCTATCGAGAGTGAGTTATTTCTTCCAAATACCATTCGACGTACTTCGGCATTGCTGATCCGGTGTTCCCACCAGATTCGGTGCTCCCTCCAGACATCGATGGTCAAACACAGAAAGCCTTTTGACGTCAGCGCGCAACGGCCATGTTTCTGACCCGTATAGTAACATGGAGCGCGCCGCAGCATTGTAAATTTAATCACTGGCGGATAAGCTGTCACGCCTACGCCACAGGTGACGCAGGTTCGCAAAAACTGCTCTGGCCTTCCCAGTCCGGATCGAATTATCATCTTTCGCGAGACCACCGTGACTGATACAGCCGCCCAGGTAAACAAACCTGTCTACTACCTCAATCGGTTCATCCGCAAGCATGAGGCTAGGGTTCGAGCCCACGCGATCTTGCAGTAGCACTTCACACTTTGCAGTTGTGAACCGCATGCCAAACTGTGAGGCGGAATTGTTTAGATGGACCAAGTGGTGAGAGCACGAATTTACTGACCGGAAGGTCCGTGGTTCGAGCCCGACCCCTGCCTCTCGACTTCCCCTGTCTAGGCTTGGGTAACCTGGCAGTATCCCAACCCTCGTGCCTCCTCCGTGCGGCATGGCAGCCAGGAACCGAAAGGGTGCTGCAGCTGAATGATTTATTTATTTATTTTTATCTGACCACAGCGTCAGATCCAGATAGAGCGACGTCGTCTGCGCACTCGACATCTGTGAGCGAACGCCCCGGGAGCACTTCGACTCCACAGGCCTTAGAGGCTGATAGTGAGTACTCCATGATCGTATCAATGACGAAGTTGAAGAGGAAAGGTAAAAGAGGAGAGCCCTGTCTGACACCACTTGATGTGGTGAACTCAGAAGAGAGCTCAAGGAGGACACCTTTGCTTCGCAGACAATGCCATAGTACCTGACGGTCCACGGAGTCAAAGGCAGCTTTCAGATCAAGAAACACAACCATTGTTGGTTGCTGGGAGCAGTGTCGCTGCTCCAGATTTGTCGGAGGGTGAAGATATGATCGATGCATCCTCTTGCAGGACGAAACCCAGCTTCGTTTTCACGGACCTGTCTCTCCCTGAGTTCAGTCAACCTTCGAAGAAGACCAGAGAGCACCTTCGATGCTGTAGCTAATAGGCTGGTGCCACGGTGGTTTTTACACAGCATCTGCGTACCCTTTTTGAAGATAGGAATAACTGTCGAAATGCCCCATTCTGCAGGCACCTTCTCTTCGTTCCACATAGCACCAATAAGCTTTGTCAGATGGATCTCCGGGTGTTTGAAAGCGCAAAGCAGATGCGCCCCGGTCATTCACTTGGAAATAAGGCGGAAACTGAACAAAGGTCTAGGGTCTCAAGAACACACGCCTCAAAAGTTTATGTGAAATATGTGTCAGATACTCTATTTCTATCTCCAGCGTTGTGCGTTACTTTGGCCACAAAATACGTTTTGCCTGTTCGACGACCGGTCTGGAGATCCTTCATGTGCTTGATCATTCGTTTATAATTAAGATCTCTTTATTCTATCGTGGGTTACGGTTAATTGCAGATGAACATTTCAAGGGCTTGATATCATCCGCACCATACGCGGGCTGCTGCATTTTTGCTAAAAATTCTGTTGTTCATAACAAATCTTGAAGACTTTGGTGTGTACATTCAGTTGAAAGCGTAGAGATGGGAAATTCGGGCTCAGTTATACATTCACCCCACCCTAGTACAAAAATTAGTAATTAATGCCTATCACAGTGATGCTTCTAAAAGGAATTCTCTGCAAGAGTTAGGTTGGTGCCGTACGCTGGAATACATATCGCTGTCAGTAGTTTGAACGGTCGGGTAGAAGTTCAATGGTGACGAAACTCTTAGTGTTCGAACGGAGTCCCCGCAACCAATAATCATCAGATTCGTAATCTTAAGACCCGAAAAAGAAATTGCAACTGATTTGGCCCTACCAAAAATCACAGGGTCCACAACGAAATTGGACATTACCTCTGCCTACAGCGACCGACAACACGAACCACCATATTCCCTCGGATGTCTGATGCACATCAATGAGCTCGCTCTGTCTGTACGGCAGCACATGCACCCGATATGGCAAAAGTTTAAGACAGGGATGGTCCGAATCCAACACTTGACCATTGAGTGATTCTAGACTTGAAATACTTTACAGTACATGACCTTCCCGCCCGCAAAGGTGGTGGTATACCGAAATGTCGGCATACTGCAAGAACGTATATTGATTTGCACTCCTGTCGAAGTGTACTGGATAGATAATGTACCTATTGATCTGTCCTCAGCATGATTCGAAACAACAGCCTTGGATCAGTCATGAAATTCAGGTTGTTGAATAGGGACCCTGCTGTAAAACGCACGTTCCGCCGATTGGTAAACAGTATTTTTCAGTTCTCTACAAACAAACCACTATCTGGCGAGGCGTTCACGAAAACTGTTCTCACTTGCGAGTGTAGCAAGTGCAGCACTTAACAAAGTTCAGTTACTTCTGAAGTGAGAAATACCAACGATGTGAGACAAGTTGCTTACACTTTGTACTCACCTTGAATAATTCTTCCAGCGTATTTGGCCAGAAATCACCTTCAAAGTATGCCAGTTCTGTGGGTGAAACCAGCCCAGATTCGCAAGCCTCCTGGCATATATCCTTATAATCAACCACAATCCGTTCTAGCAGTGCCTTCTTGAGCATCTTCTGATACCATTCTTGGAGTCGCTTGGGTTTAGGGATTTTTTGGTCTGTAGGATGCATGTGAAAGATATAATCATCGCCTTCACTTGGTGGACAGGCCCAAATATGGGCCACCGCGTAGCCCAACAACTTAGCGTAGTGAATATAACCAACCAGAATTTCATGATACACGTCAGTCCGATATTGCTTGGGACGGAAGAAATAAACTGAATCCAGATAGGCCAAGTAAACTCGTCGAGTATTTGGCGGAGGGCATTCTGATCCGTACTCCTGCACATGCAACCCGAAGAAACAAACCTCTTGCCCATCGATTTCTTGGAAGGCGAATATAGCTTTGACACGATAGGGGAACGACTCAGGCATATCACCCGTCTCACAAAACCTAGATTTCATACCAGGCTTCACTTCTACGGTTTTATCGGCTGAGGCTAAGACTCGGATGATTACATCGCTTGCATCGGTCCCTTTCTTCTTTAGAAAGTCGTTGACGCGCTTCTCCAAAAAGTTGCTCAGTCGGCAAGTGGGCAATTTTCGTGCAGTGTAGCGATTCTCTGGACGCTTTAAACCATAATCTCTCATACAGCGGTTACAAACAAATCCCTCAGGCCAAACCTCATCTGCATGAATCGCACAAACTCTATGCCATTTGCGACCACACTTTTTACAAAATACAAACGGCTCCTTTTCCTTCCTGTCGTTTTTACACTTTTCCATCAGATTCTTTTGGACGGTTCTGTAACAAAAAGATTATTAGTTGGACACGAGCAAACAAAACGACCACATACACAACGGTGGAAGACTCGCTATCCAGACGAATTTCATCGCCAGCTTCATTGTAGCACCTCTCACAGACGGTGTACTTTTGTTCTAACAAACCTGGTGTTTGGTCACTGAAGAAGAGTAAATGTAGATAAGAATAACCAAACGTACTCGTTTTTGTACACATAGTACACAGCATCACGCTGGATAGTGCAAAATTTTGGAGTCAGACAAGTCAACGGAGGCGGCAAATAGTAATATTCGCGTCCACAACAAAATCCAAGCTGTTGCATTACGGGATCTATCGTAGTCTCGAAAAATTCGGCCAACTAATAAGTGAAATAAGCGGGTAGATAAATAGGTATCATACCTTTGTGCAAGTTTTGTACACCTTGGAAGTCTTTTTATTGTAGAGCCAAGCATTGTTGAACATCAACCAGAAGTCATCCACTACACTCCATGGATCTTTGTATTCCCGGTTTTCCAGCTTTTTGCGGATTGTCGAGAGGTCCATCGGATGGGTAATGATTTGGGGATAGTCATAAATTTCCAAACTTTCCCAATCGACGGGCTGAAGAAAGGGCTCGGCGTCTTTCTCCTTACTGATTCTGTCCACGACTGGTAAGAAGTAGCGTTGCAACTCATTCGGATACCATACGGCACGGTTAGAGGCCTCACGGAGTGGCTGTTGACCTGCATCCGACTTCAGTTCGTCAGAAGGCTTGACATCAGATGACATGGTTACATCGGAGTTTACGTCGCCATCTCTGGGAGATCGCGTGGTGGGCGCCGTTGCTGGCTGCGTGGTGTCGATGGAAGAGCTTTTTATTTCGGCGGACGGCGTATTGGTTGGTGGTTCACAGCAGTCTTGATTTACCTGCTGTGAAGCCACCGTATCCATCGAGACAGACTTTACAAAGCTAGTCGCTGAAGAGGACGCAGGAGAACTGCGCGATTCTTCCACCGGTGTGGCATCCTCACGTTTACACACCACCTCTGACCCATCACAAACTCGATCTGGTTCTGTGCTCTCTGATGACCGTCCGGAGTGTGCCTCGCTTTTTATATTGCTCTCCTCATTGCTGGGTTCCAAAGGACGAGCACCACGAAGCCTCCGTTGTTCCTTGAGTTCGGAGTGGATACTCTGGTAGCGAGCGGTCAATGCAGCATAGTACTCTTCTGCAGTTTTTGATTTCATAAATATATCTTTCTCCATTCGTTTTAGATGATCAAGAAATTGTTGCATTCTAGGATCGTTGTAAGCGGTGGAGTTAGCAGCTGGGAATATTGATAAAGAGACATTGACACTAAAATGCAAGGTTTAGTCGGAAAAATGAGGAAAAACTTACAATTTTTTCATCGCATCTTTACGCTGTTCATCGGTTAAAGGAAAACTGTTACGATTGTTGCGACCAATTTCACCATTCAGTGCTGGTGATGATGAACATGGAGTAGGGGTCACTTCATAGTGTGGTGATGGGTTTTTTATTCCGTTCACTGTGGTGGTATCGGGTTTTGATCCAGAAGACACGAAGTTGCAGACCGGCCCGTTCTGATATTCTGTTCCTGGATGCGACGGCATATCCGCTTTGATGAGCGGTCTCTTTACCGCAGTGCAAACATCACAAGACCAAGCACTACATACGTTGAAATGTCGGAGGATACGCTTGGACGAACGGCAGTGTGCTACACTACAACCATCTTCATGAAGGCATTTGTCCATATGGTCCAGCACTTGCCGCATAAGCATGCAGTGTCGGATATTGCATGTCAAGGTGAGCCCATCGTTCTCCAAACGTCGACAACGTTCGGCGTGCAAAAGTAGCGCTAGCTGGCGCTGCATTAACACACAGTTCATGGAGGTCGAGTCATTCTGGAACTTTTCCATGATGGGAGTAACCTTAACCTCAACAGCGGAGCATTGCATAGTCAGGAAGAAGATCCTAATTAAAAAAAAATAGATGGAATCAGCTGGGATGCATGAGGTAATTCACACACACGTATTGAATCATTAATGTGGAGGTTCCAGAAAACATCAGCGAACCGGATGGGGGCTCATAGTGATGGCGTGATAGTGACGTCTCCGTCACTACACAGGACAAAACAGAAAACCGTACGTATTCATTATGCGATTGTAATAACAGTATATCCTCAGCTTGGGTCTCGGTTTGGACCTTTCCCGTCACAACCACCAACAAAGGTGTACGTGTATTACCGCTCAAAACCAGGTCAAAAGCACATGTACAGAGCACCGTACATAACGTGCATGCAGCAACAATGTTATGGAAATCCTCACGCGTTCAGGATGCACCTTTGACAACCGGCATTCGGCGAATGTTGGATCATGAGTGGCTGTTGGGCCCACACTTTCGACCAACCACAGCTCACCTTGATGACGGGCCCGGTCTCCTGGCCAATCGCGTGCGGGATGGGCTTGTTGCCCGTAGCAGCGCCTAAATACGGGAGATAAAGGACGATTGGCGCGGGATTCCGCCTAACAGTGATAAGGAGTGTCAAAACGGGACGGTTGGTACCTCAATTACTGGCACCCGAATTGTGTACATTATGGTGCAAGCTATTGCGGTAACAATCTTCCGCAAGTACAAATTGCCACCTTAACGTGATGGTCGGGCTTGAATGTTGCGATAATCCTGCTGGTTAAAATGGATAGAACTCTGATACACAGACTCCAACCCTCTGGTGCTCGCCTACCACAAGCATTCTGAGGCCCTGAACCTCTAAGCGATCAAACAATCTGGTATTAAAACGACAGCACGAATGCTACTGACAATTAGTTACTGAAGGGTGGACCGCACCAATAACACCCAAACTCTTTTACGACCCTCTGCGAAGTCACACGTTGTTAACCACGCAGTTTGCACAATTCCGAAGGAGGCATGGGGAACATCTGTCCCGGTGGACGATGTTTCAGCATGCTACGCATGCTGACGCCACTGGTCCGAGTAGCGTAGGACAAACACATCTTATAGACGAGGATCTTCCAAAGATCCAAACACGGAAACGTCAAGGATTTAGGCTGATTGTCCCTACCTGGTACATAGAATGTGCATTCAAGAAACCCAAAAAATACGCTCTGGATTGTTTTCTACGAGTAAATGACATTCCAACTTTGGGATATCACACACACGTCGTCTGTCCCTTGAGAAGTTCTCGCAACATGATGCGAGGTGGACTTACTGAAACGACCTACTGAAGTTTCGCCCCAAGAATTCACCTTTCGATGTCGGCTCCTGGTGGAAAGCACTATCCACAACCCTATAAGATGCTAGATGCTTTGTTTGTGGAGCGGCACGACAAACTAGATTTGAGGATTGGATCTCGACCAGCAGTATAGTTATTCAAATCTCGCACACGTATTCCTAATCGAAAGTATAACTCCATGGACTGACCAATAGGTGAAACGGAGTGTCTGTGCGGATCGAAGCTTGATGGGTCCAGCAATCTGAAGAGATAGAAAGATCGAGAAACTACAGGAATGCGCGTACACTGTCACAGTTAAAAACGGCTTGCTCATCTTAAGAAACAGGAACGCCTGATTCGTCGAACTGCACTTTTTTGACTACATCCAGCTGCTCATTTGGATCACTGGCCCGCAACAGTCCTAGACAATAAACATGCAACCTCCGACAGCTTCATAAATGACTGTTGACCCCAGGCGTCAACGAGCTACTGACCACGATTAACTCTTAGCCACTCTGTTTGAAGATGTGGATGAAATCCTTAGTCGATGCTTAACTCACTCACCACCGTCCAAACCAACCTTCTGGTGCCCATTTTCGGGAAAGTGAGAGATAGGGATTAGCCTGACCTCCGTCGTAATTAGACTCTTGCCTAAGTCTTAAGATGGCACGTGTAAACGGTACAGGAGAATAACAAGTTTGATATCGACCAGGAAGGGATTATGTTGACCACATCTCCAAAGTTGGTTAAGTGCGAAGATAACGATGTGTATAGACACTGCAATCTTATTGTTCCCCGACTTAAAGGACACATTCGACCTTACGGATCTGTACGGTCTTTTTCAACACGCTTGTTGGATGATACCTTGGAAGTTTAGGAACGCAATCCGGTTCTTGTATTCACATAACTCCGGGCGTGAATGTGGTGGTCTCTGAAGGCCTCTCTATAAAAAGCGGTGTCCAACAGGGATGTCCACTATCCTCATCTTCATTGTCGGTAGAGTCTTCGAAATCCCGGACTTCAAATCGTTGCTGGAGAGAATCATGCCAAGGCCGACAAACAACATCGTCCTCACCCTTGATGAGGAACACAAGGCACAAAAACGTTGAATACCCTGATCACCACATCACCCTTCAGAGTGAGTTGCGCCTTCTAAGTTCGGAAGGTGCAGTCTATAAACGTTGTGTTTGCAATTCAAGGAGCACTGGAGGTTGTGGGAAGATCCAAATACCTCGATGGACGTTTTCGCTTTGACAAGTGTCTGATGAAGGCAATGAAGGGATCACGAAGTTTGGAATCACGTTTGCCGAGTTGCGTCATTGGCGTACAAAAGTCACACATACATTCGCGTTCGTCCCATTAACTCGCCAATCCCGAAATAGAATAAAGAAAGAGTAACCATATCAGACCTTTTGTAGAAAACCTGTTGGAAAGTTTCTCATAAAATTTCACGCGTCGAGAAGTCTCAAAACACGGAAACTTATCATGTTTATAAGCTTCCGGGTATTCCAGGTTGAGCAAGTGTGTTGTGGGAACATATATCAGTGTCAGACGCATCTTGGACATCTAAGACCATAAGTCACTTATACGTACACTGTTGTTCTAGCACATGACGGAACGTGATATGGTCAGCATAACTAGGTGAAATTTCGTTTGCTGCTTTCAAGTAGGTGCTTCACAGCCCCCCATCAGGCGACGAAAGGCATCATCATCATCAACTTCATTATCATCATCATCAAAGACACCATTATCAGTGTTGGCACTGATCACTGCGACGGTCAGCATAACTAGGTGAAATTTCGTTTGCTGCTTTCAAGTAGGTGCTTCACAGCCCCCCATCAGGCGACGAAAGGCATCATCATCATCAACTTCATTATCATCATCATCAAAGACACCATTATCAGTGTTGGCACTGATGCTTCACTGCGACGAAAGGCAAGTGACGCCAATCGCCGAATTACAATCAAGCTGATGCAAATTTGATTATCGCACACAAGATACCGAAACATTCCAACAGCATTTAAACTAACACAGATGAGTTGCGCTCAGGAAAAACGCCAGTAGCAGACTTGCAGTCTTTTACGAGCCCCAGCTAATGCATTCCCAAGCAACAGGAACTTTAGACAGTTATGATACGCCAACTATGTGCCACACCCTATGCAACACGTGCAACAATGCCGTGGATACCAGGAATCCAGGCAAGAAAATCTCATTACACTAGAGTTGACAGTTTCCTCTAAGCGAAACTTGCGAGGAGAACGAAGACAATTGGTAAACATAGATGACATGCATGGTTCGGAAATTTTAACTAGACAGGCTTTATGTGCTAACGTAGAGACTATATTTCATTAACAAGCACTCACCCACAGACCAGAAACAGCCTATGCGGGCCTTCCTGCGAAGGCACCTGTGTTCTGATATGCTTGAAGTCTCCGAAACAGCGGCCAAATCTCATTGCCTACATCCCGACCTAAAGCTGCAGTGGTAGGGCTTCCGTGCCGGAAAGATCCTGCAGGCTATACTGACTGAAATTCAGATTTTGCAATGCCAGGAAAGTCAATGGGAAGCGGCCGACGGAGAACAGCGAGTCACTTGTATCAGAAAGTTGAATTAGAGGCTACGGCAAAGTCCCCGAACAAAACCTTACGTCCTCTCACTTGTGGGTCAGACTTGAGTCAAAGGAACAGGATGGGATACCTCAATCAGTCCCCTCTTTATCTTGGGCAACCAGTGTCATGAACAGTCTTTGTGCTCACATTA